GGAGTGTTGCTTTTGCCCCAAGCTTCAATAACTTCAACACTAATTATTAGTATCGGGGTTATAAGGAAATATTCCTGTTGCAGCAAAGCCTGATTTAATGTTAGAAGGTGTCAATGCCTTGTCCCACACTATCGAAAATATTTCCCCAAATCGCTGCTTTGTTAAAGCACGTTCTTTGTATTTGGTCCAATACAACAACACTTGTTCGTCCCAGTGGTGTTCAAAGGAACGAAACACAGCTTTGTCCATAGGCTGGAGTTCATGAGTTGTGTTGCTAGGCAAACACAGAAGGGTTATTTGATATTTCTCGGCAGCTTCGACAATTGAAATGTCTAAGTGACGTGAGGCTCCATCAAATATTAAAAGAAACTTTCCCTCCAATTTATATTTTGCTAAATGCTCCAACCAAATAATGAAGGTTTCCACATTCATACTGCCTTTAGGGGTCATCAACGCCAACGTGCCATGAGGCAAATTATCTTTCCATTCGGGCTTCATGCGCCGTCCTTTAAACAAAACGGCAGGAGGAATAGCGGTACCATTGGCATTAGCACAGCTAACAATAGTTACATTTTCCCCATGTTCCGGAGCAACTAAATGTACGCGTTTCGCGCCTTTCTTTGCTAGAACGGTCTGTTGATGATGCAGACTGAGTCTGCAGCCTTTCTCGTCCACATTTTAAATTCTTTCAGGTTTGTAGATTAAATATAATTCTTGAAGTACACCCCTTAATTTGTCAAAATAGTATTTTACTATGAACTTGTTCAATTTTTGAGCCCGAGCAGGATTCATGTTTTGTGTAATGTAAACATAGAAAGTGAGTGAAGAATAGAAAAAAATAAGGGCTAAGTAGCATAGAAAGATAATAATTATTCAAAATAATTATATATTCCGAATTAAATAAGGGAATCCCTTATTTAATTCGGAATATATAATTATTTTGAATAATTATTATCTTTCTATGCTACTTAGCCCTTATTTTTTTCTATTCTTCACTCACTTGCTATGTTTACATTACATTTGTGCTTTCCTTATCGATATTTCAGGGTGTCTTTGCAAAAATCCTTTTAACCAATAACGTCCAACCCTTTTTATTTCCTTGTGAAAAAAAGTGTGGCAAATTGTTTTGTTCACAATAAGTAAACACACATTTTTTAAAAGTTTTATTGCTGAGGGGATACCCAACTTCTACCAATCTAACAATTCGTCGAGACAATTCGTTTTCTTGATCTATATTCAAAATAGTCTTTCTCCCCATTTTTACCATTTTGGTACTATTTTTTTTCTACATAGCGTTTCAAAGTGTGTCTAGAAATATTATACCTTTGACTTGCCGCATTGTATGACATTCCATTCATTACTGCTGCAATTGCGGATTCTAGCTGTTGATTGCTCCATTGCGACCGTATCTCCTTATTTCTGACACGAGGCATGTTATCTAAAACAAAAAAAATCAATAAATTATCTGTTTTAATTAGCTGGCAATATGCCCAATTGAGCAAATTGTCAGCAGACACTATGGGCATATTGTTGACACATGATGATTAATACATTTTCTTAAATTATAAAATCATTTTGAATAATAATATATTTTATTTTTACTTACATTTTAAGTACTCTATGGCAGACTAAAATCACTTAATGTCGTAGACAAATTAAAACGTTTAAGTGCAAAACAAAGGTGAAAACTGACGTCAATTTTTATAAACACGCTCTTAAAAACCACGTACAACTTGACTGCACCATCAGTGTTGCCAAAACACTCTAGGAAAAATCGTCAGAATTCTATTTAAAAAATCGTGAAATTTTCCGAATTCAATACAATATTTTTCATTGAGGGGTAAGAATGAAAAAAAAAACGAGAAATATAAAGAATACGTGTATATTTTTGACAATATTAACAAAAAAAAAACATTCCTATAGATTTCAATCTTAAAATAAGGTAGGTACCTACCTATATTAAATTTTGTTCTAGATACTATTAGGTACCTATAGTGAAACTGAAAGATTATTCTAGCGATTCTGACTAGAATCTATTCAGAGTCGCTAGAATCATCTTTATTATTTAAATAGGTCTCACTGGTTTTTAACTTTTTGACCATATTTACATTTATATTAAAATTCAAGCAACCATTATTTCCAATTAAACGTTTCGTATGTAAAATTCCCTCCATGGTATCAATTTTAATTCTGTTCCGAAATTGTGTTTTTGTTAGATTTATTGGAGAGAAGATTATCTCTACGGCAGCACTTGAATGGGGTAAACATAGGATATTAAAAACAAAGTTTACCAAAGTGGGAAATTTTAAAGAATCATCCCCTATTTTTACAAGTGCAATTATTTTCCAAAATCCTACAATATCATTATCAATATCATCAAGTGGAAAATTTAATAACATTCTCCACTCATTATCTAAATCTTTATAATTTTCTGGACTAATCAGGTTAGGAAAACTCATTGCCACATCAGAAATGAATGTTTTTTTTTTGTTTTTATAATTTCGGGGTCAAAAAATTGCATTTTTTCAATTGTGGAATTTTTTAAAGGAAATCTAATTGTTATTTGTTTAACACTTTCGATATAAAAGTTTAGACACTTAATTTTTACCATTTTCAAAATATCTTTATCTACTTGGCTTGTACTTATTGATGCTCCGAAATACATATCTTCAATATCTAAAAAGTTTCGAGGGTTAGCATAATCAATTTCATATAAATCTTTGTGTAATACATTAGGTTTGATATAGCATTGTAATATAGTTTTTAAAGTTGAAGTTATTTCGATATATATTTTATGGACTTGGGGCTTTTCACTTTGCATTAATCTATTGAGCCTATTGAAAAAAGGTAGCATATACGCTAAAAATTCCAAGTACAATTTAATATCAGGTTTTTGAAGTTTTTGTAAAATAATATCAGCCCCAATAACACCTTCATAACTTTGTTCTGTGAAGTAGAGTATTAACGCTGCATACTGAGATAAAAGCCTTTTAACTACAGATTCTAACGAAAGCCATCTGGTTTGGGAGGGATGTAAAATTTTATGAGGTGACACATTAGCGAACTCTTGAAATTCCTTGTATTGGTCTAACCTTTTTGGACTGTTTGAGAAGAAATTATACACCTAAAATAAGAAAAATATAATACAGAATACGCAAATTTAGAAAAAACTGGACATACTTCTCTCGCTAACTGTTCTGCTTCAGGGGGTAACTTCTCACAGGCATAAGAAGCGCAGAGATGGAAGCTATGACAGACACATTTTAACAAACAGATTGGGACATTTTTCTTTTAGCCTACTGGCTAATGAGTTATGAGCACCCATCATGTTATTAGCTCCGTCAGCTGCAAACCCAATTAAATTTTTTTTCATATGGGATGCTATTTTTCTCGAAAAATGTCTTAATTAAATTGAACAAGGCAGCTGCTGTTACGTCTTGAACTGGCAAAAGAGCTAAAAAGCAATCCTCAATGTTGTGATTAAAGATCACCCTAGCAACAAGACATAAATGCTTGGAACAACAACAACTTCTGTCTGTCGATTCGTCTGCCATTAAACTAAATTTATTTTCTCTTAACAATTGTACGAGTTGTAAGCGAGCTTCATTTCCAGTAACATTTTTAATAATACTGCTCATTTGTGAACGGCCACATTTCATTGATTTGGCAATATCTGAATCCGAACAAATAGTTTTGAACAATGGTGCTAAATGTCCAATCACATTTATTGGCATGTTGTGTTCTGTTAAAAATGCTGGTGCAGCACCATGGCAAGCTCACAACTAACCTTGAGGTCGGTCACGGGCTTAGTTATATTAGGCGTTTAGTGTGTCCAGCGCCTCCTTCCCCGAATATCAAATATTAAAGCAAAACATGGAAATGGGCATATTACCAACATGGGCATATTGTATTCAGGTACCTTAATGAATATGCTTACATATGGTATTACTAATACAAAAGTCATTACATGTGCATGAATATGTGTGACAACATAAGTCACATTCTTTGCATTTTAAAACACAACAACTTTGCTCAAATAACTTTTTTATACAATAAATATCATCTATATACCAAATATTGGGATTTTCTATATCAACACTTACTGAAAAATTACTTGTAACAGCAATTTTATGTCTTAAAATAATTTGTTTAATATGAATTGAGTTTTTCCCTTTTATTTGCTTTATATGTCTTTCAATGCACTTATCCCTAACAAATTTCATTAAACAATGTAGACTCTTATCTAACCTTTTAACCTTTTTGCCATCTAAATAAAAATATTTTATTACTTTATGCATAGATTCTATGCGCATATTTGTATTAATGCCACAACCCTCCCTAAAGCAATAAGCCCACTTTTCATATATTAAACTATAATTATTTTTAAAGTAAATACCAAATTCTTGAGTATCAGTATCTGAAAGCAACTGGGAAACTGTATTATTAAGAACATTATGGAACTCATTTATATTCGTATTTTGTTGAACAACCTTAATTACCTTATATTCCTCAGATTAGGGATGCGACATCGGTAAAAAACATCGATGTTGAACATCGATGGTAACATCGAAGCTGAACATCGATAGTATCAAAATATCGAAAAGAAAACATCGAAGTTCTAGAAACATCGATGTTTTTACAAATGTTGAGTAATGTGAAAATAATAAACTAAATAAGTATTATATAATCGTGATTTAATTGCTGAAAAACGTGGTGTATGCGTAATGATCATCATCAGAATTGTTTTCAAGAATACAGCATTTTCATTTCTACTCCCTGAAATTGAAGAATAAAATGGAATTGGAGGAATTGTTTTGAATATGTTTTAGTTATACAATAAAGCATCTTAAAAACAATAGTTACTAAGTTTATTTCATTAAAACAGTGTAACCTTAACCTAATATTAAACAATTAAAAATTTTTGGCTTGATAGATATCTTAAACACAACCAAATTATTAGAAAAAAAAAACAAATAAGTAATATATTAAAATTATAAGCCTCAATAATGCTTATCAATATCTTGTAAAAATAACAGTTTTGATAGCAGCTTTCCTTTTATTCTGTTTCGTTGCTGGGTTACTGTTTGGCCAGCTTTAGAAAAGAGTCGTTCAGACGGTACGGATGTGGCTACAACTGCTAAATATTTATGTGCTATAATTGCCAAATTCGGGTACGTAGCTTTATTTTGTTCCCACCATTTAATTGAGCTTTTTAAATAAAGAGATAACTCAGATGAAGGGGCAGATGTTGATATTTCTTTTGTGTTTTCAGAGATTAATCTTGAATGATCTTCCCATAAATCAAATACTTCGGGTATAGCTAAAACAATTAAAATTTAGATTAATTATCATTCAACAAATTAAGACAAAAAAATGTTTACCTGGTTCTTTTTCTTTTTGTTCATTGACGGTAGAAAAGCTTTGTTGAGAGACGTCCATTTTCAGTTGCAGTTCCTCTTGTATATTTTGAACTGCTTTTGCACAATCTAATTTAGAAGTAAAATACATCTTCTTAAAGCGAGGATCAAGAAGCGTGCAAACTGATAGTAAATGAACTTGTTTTGCCATTCCAAAACGTTTGTTACATTCTCCTAAGAGAGATTCTTTTATTTTCTTCCCAATTTCGTATTTAGGTGTACTTCCTTCAATTTTCTTCTTTATATTAAAAATCATTGGAATGACAATGCTACTAGTTGTGTATTTTTCACCAGACGGTGGTTTTGTAGCAGTTTCAAGGGGAAGCAATATATCTTGAACCTCTTTTAGCTCTTCTGCTTCTCGAGCATTAATCATTCCTGGTGCTGGTGAATGTCGATTGACAATTTGATTAATTATATCTCTTAATTCGAGAAATCTAGTAATGGAATAATATGTTGAATTCTATCTAGTGGAAACTTGTTGAATTGGTTTTTTCATATTATCTGGGTCTTGGGCTTTTCCTAACTCATCACTAGCATTTACACTGTGCTTAAACCACGTTATTATTTGATTAATTTTTTTTTTAAGTTCTGTTAAGGGTTCATAAGATCCAATGGCTCGTTCAGCGATTAAATTAATTTGATGTGCAAAACAGTGCAGATGTTTTTTTTTCCAAAAATTGTCTCCACTGCAATATTGATGTTTGCAGCTCCATCAGTCATTATGGCCGAAACACGTTCCGTCATAATATGCTAATCTTCCATAATGGTAGTCAATACTTCCCGCAAATATTTTCCTGTATGTGACTGACATAACTCAGTGACTCGCAATTCCACAGAATCTATTTTAAGATCATCAACAAAATGTAATGTTAACCCAATAAAACTTTTAGACTGCATCGTTTCAGTCGATATATTTGTGGTTATAGTATACGATGTTAAAGACTGTATTTTTTGGCGAAACAAATTTGACACAGCGATGTACTTTTTATCTAAAAGAGCATTAATAGTTTTCCTGGAAGGTATTTTGTAGAGGCCACCAGAGAGCTGCTTAATTAGGTTTTGAAATCCCTCATTATCGACAATGGATATCGGCTGGTAATCCCGACAAATCATATATAGAATGGAATTTGTTATTTTTAAATATTTTGTACCACTTTCACTATAAGATTCTAACCTTTTAACAGACTCTACTATTGTTTTTTGTCTTTTGTAAGGAGTGGGTGCATAATAGCCACTTGTACTAGGTTGTTGAGTAAAAGAAGATGATGATTTTGATATTTCTGAAAGTGAAGAAGTACTTCGAGTGTCGTCGTTATACTCTGTATCAGTAATTACATCTACACTTTCTTGTACATCACTGTTGACTTTTTTTATAGAAGAATTTCCATTTTTGAAAGAAAATTCTTTATGTGTGCTCTTTAGGTGGCATTTTAAATTGGATGTATTGCCACATGTTTTAATTCTTTTAGAACATAATCGGCATTTTGCATAATTTTTATCTTCAAAGCATTTATCAAAGTATTTTCACAAATCACTTTTAGGTGGCATGTCTGTTTACACAATAATAAACACTACTTTAAATAAAACTTTAAAATGGTACGTAACTGTAACTAATAGCTCCGATTTCGCCTTTCAACCTCACAATTGAAGTCAAACTATAATAGAGGAACAAGGATATGAAACTATAACACAATACATACCCACCATGTGGTTATATACTATGAACTATAAATTGAAATTTAATTTTTAAAGTATACATACCCCATAGGGAATTCACAGATTCACAGGTCGGGGAACCCCGGACCTACACAGGTGGTTCATAATAGATGACAGAGTCAGGGAACCCCAGGCAATATCATTGTTCGCGGTAGCAGTAATTTACCAAAATGTATTGAGTGTGGCCTATATGTGGAATCAATCACCACGATCTTGTCGTTGTAATACATTTAATATTCACATAATTACTGGACTTTCTAAAATAACTAGTTTTTACTAAATTTAATAACATATTTTAGCCAGTTTGATTTCCCCAGATATTAGTCATTTTAAAAAAGTTTTTCCCCAGTCCCCAAAGATTATCAATTTTCCCCAGTTCTGAGGAAAAATCCCCAGACCTGGCATCCCTGCTATAAATAGAGGGATAAGGACGAAGGACAAGATAAAAATAATTACACCCACAATTTAGCCACAATTATGGACATGGAACAAAATATTTGAGTTTGGCAGTGATGAAATTTATGTTAAAAATGAAACACATGCAATCAAAAGCAATAAGACATATAAAACTCAATAGTTTAGAATTACCAAGAAAGAAAAAGTAAATAGTTTTTAAAAAGTAAACAGTAAAATTTCAGTATAAATAATAAAGTTAAAAAGACATCTCTTGCAATTATAGCAACTAGTTTTGGCACTGTTGACAAATCTATCCGCTAATCTATCAAAGGACATTTACCCAAAAATCTCTAATAATCAACTGCAATTAATCTCGAAAGGAACAAATATTTACTCTTTCTTGTTTTATATAAAAAATTGCAGAATCCATAAAATAATATAATCAAAATGTACTTTTTAAAAGCATTCTTTGAAGCATACAACATATACATTCTAAGGACATGGCAATACTGCCAGTTCGAAATATTTTGTTGTTTGTTCCAGGGTCTGACATTTACGTCTATATTCTGGGTGTACTTATTTTTACCTTGTCCAATACCACCATAATGATAATGATAATTACTAAAAATAGAATAGACTAAACAATGAGATGTGAGATTTACCGGGTAACTTCATTCAGCGATATAAATTGTCAGCCGGTGAAAGCTGTAATCTATACTTATGTTATACTTTACTGGTGTTCGATGTTTTCATTTAACATCGATGTTAACGAATACTCAATATCGATGGTTAAACATCGACCATCGAGCGTTCAACATCGATGTTTTTCAATCATCGATGAACATCGCGCATCCCTTATTTTTGATAGATTTTGCTGCCAAGCTCTATCAACATGCCATGAACAAAATAATTGGTAAATTGCTGGTCCCATGACAGTACACCATGCATTGTAAAAAGTTGAAACAATGTCACTCATAAAAGTTTTTGAATGCAAAACTCCAACATTTAACTTCACTAAATTGAAAAAAATTTCATAAATATATGTGTCTTTCCTGTTGCTAAACAAAAAAGCCACTGGTATACCTTCACCAAACTCGTCCACAACCATTAGAGTAGTTAACTCAAAGTCGTAATTGTTTAACCCATGAGTCCCGTCTATAGCAATTATATTAGATCCAAATTTTTTTAACATTTTTTTCTGAAACACAGTCATTATAACAATACAAAAATCCACATTATTTAGCTTATAGACAATATCCGTCTCCCCCTGTGCCTTGTAAAATAATATAGGATTATTTTCATCCTCCTCACACATTTTTACCTCTAGGTCCACAGAAACTGCATCATTTTCATGTTTAACCCCTTCCGAAATGTTAACATGATATGAACTTTGAATGTTTCGTATATCCTTTTTCGTTATTAGATCTTCACGATTTATATCCTCTTCAATGTATTGTCTATATCAGCCATGTCAAACTAAAAGTACTTAGCGGGCCATTTTTAAAATGATCACAGTATCAATGGGCCGCACCGCAAGACTCAGCCAAACAAAAAAAAAATGTATAGTAAAGATAGTCCAGCAATCGTTTAATGTTTAATTACATAATAAAAGTAAATAATTGAACAAAACAGGTAGGTAAGTTAAGTTGCAATAATTACAATTTTTTCCCTGAAATCTGACACCTTTTATCTTTAATTAAGTTATCTATTTGAGGAGTAAATTTATCTGCTGAAATCAATTTCAGTACTGCATCCAAGTGTGTGTGTCAGTCAATCGCGATCGTGTCGGTGATTTATTTCCTTTCATCAAGGAAAATAATTGCTCGCACTGATAGGTACTTCCGAACATTGATATCACTTTTTTCTATGTCAATGGAGAAAAGGCCTGTGAATAAGGAAAAATTGGCATCTTGAAGTCTAAAATCTTGAAAACGTCTCTCAAACTCGGCCTGCAGACTTCTAATTTTCTCGACATATTTATTATTCGAAATTTCGACACTACTATTTTCCTGGAAGTCCTTGCATGTCGGAAAATGCGACAAATTATTAACTGCTAACTGCTTTTCCCACAGTCATAACTTGCACTTGAAAGCTTTTATTTGATCGTTCATGTCTGTAATAATTTGACGTGGTTCTTGCAACTTTGTATTTAGCTCAGATAGGTGTTTTGTGATATCTACCATAAAAGAAAGATCTTGTAAAAACTATACATCGGACAGCAAACTGACATCTTGGTTTTTTATTTCTATGAAAAGTCGTATTTCCTCTCTTAGTTTCCAAAATCGATCGACGAGAACCATAGAACACGAAAGCCACCGCACCTCCGTATAATAAGGCAAGCCCGCGTATTCACTTTCTAAATCGCGTAGAAACGCAGTAAATTGTCACTGATTCAAACCACGTGATCTTATAAAGTTAATAATTTTTTTTTACTGCTTTTAACACACTTTCCATCTTTATCACTTTTGAACATAGGCTTTCTTGGTGTAGTATACAATGAACGTGGTGAAAATCTGGTACGTCTTTGTATGTCTCCTTAATTCTGGTCTGTAATAATTTAATGAAGCCAATATTTATTCCTGTCATAGAAGGAGCCCCGTCAGTTGCAACAGAAGACAATTTTGATAAATTCAAATTATACCGTAGTAGCAGTTCATACACAGCATTCAATATATCCTCCCCAGTCGTTGTGTCATGCAAAGGCACCAATTCCAGTAGTTCTTCATAAATATTCATTTCTTTATCAACAGCACGAAAAAAAAAACAGCGAGTTGAGCCACACCACACACGTCTGTACTTTCGTCGCAGGCAATTGAAAATGCGATAAAAGTATCTGATTTCATTTTTATTTAATCGCTTATGTTACTAGCCAACTTAGTGACTCTTTCAGCGACTGTATTCCGCGACAAAGATATACTTTGAAAAGCTTTAACGCTTCTGGGACAAACAATTTCTGCGGCTTTCACGAGGCACTCTTTTATAAATTCACCTTCAGCAAAAGGTTTTGAGTGTTTGGCGATTAATGTTGAAAGTACGTAACTTGCATAAACAGCAGACTCATTTTCTTGTTTAGCTCGTGTAAACATGAGTTGTTGATTTGTTAATCGTGCTTTTAACTCGGTTAATTTTTCATTTCTTATTGCCCCCACATACTGGTTATACTTAGCTTTGTGCTGATCATAGTGACGTTTGATATTGTATAATTTAGGGACACTCACTGTACTGTTACAAATCAGGCAAATAATTTTGTCTTTCACTTCACTGCAAAAAAACTCCAACTCCCATTTTTCTTGAAATACTCGATGTTCGTCTCTGATTTTCCTCTTACTTCCACTTGGTTTTGAAAGAGACATTTTACAGTAGTAGTGGCATAAATAATCTCTAAAAACAATCTGCTATTTCGATACAAACAGTAGGTAGCGCGCTATTTCGATAAAATAAAATCACAGAATAAAACACAACAGAGCGGCGTGTCGATGTCGATCGGTCGTCAACTGGTTCTTTCTGGTTGGTTGGTTCATAGCAACAGGCTGGCGCAGGCGCAGGTATTAAGTAGCCTCGCCCGAAATGTAATAGAAAACACTTGAAAATATTATCTGTCATTATCGGTTTGTACATAATAGACGGCCTTAAAGATAGTAGTGTCCACTTTATTGGTTAAACGAAAATAAACTTTATTTAACAGGCAGTGGAGTTTTTTTGCAACAAAATTACCTTTTATTTCGCAAACAATAGAACACAAGATAAAGCGGTCAGACCGCAGGGGTGCTAATTTTTATCACCTTATCACCAGACCCTTCTCTCACAAGACATTTCCAACAATCACAATATGTACTTCTCAAGTATTGCAGTTGCAGTGCGTGCGGAAGAGAAGCACAGCCATTTTCTGCCCCTGTGCTCTTTATGCGTTCTTATAAAATGTTTTAACTATTGTACTACATACATTGGGTTGGGCTTCGTGGGCCGCAGAAAATTACCTGATATGATCGGGCTGCGGGCCGCATGTTTGACATGCCTGGTCTATATGAATCTAAGATCCTAAAATAATAAATACATAAAATTTTTGACTGTAAAATCTTAAAAAAACTCGGTTATAAAATGTGTAAAAATAAAATTTACCTTGAGGGTGGAACTCCTAATGTTAGTTTTGAAGCTACTAATGATCTATCCACCTTTGGAAGTCTTAAGTGCTGTAATTCAAAGTAATGGCCATAATGATTTTTCACCCAAGTTGTTACAATTTCTTCTGCTTTAACAACTTTAATCATGCTAATGCAATATCTTCCCAATTTACATGTCCCTTGACTTTTTGGTAGTCTTATACCAGAGCTTTTTGTTCTTAGTTTTCCTAATAAAACAGAATGCCTAATTAAAAGCAAAGAATGAT